TTCCCCGCTTCAAAGCTGTCATGGATGTNTTCCACGCAGCCTCGGGACAACGACTCAACGATCGCAAGGTTGAGCTCTTGCCGCTTGGCACATTCACCCGCAATACAAGACCGGCGGACTTACCACCAGCGAATGCTATTGGTAATCATTTAATCATCCCGGTTACTAACCTAACGCATATGGCGAACTCTGTGGGTAATGAACAAGTAGCAGACGAGGTTGAACAGCAGCCTATTGTAGGTTCAATAGTTGGCGATTTCAGGGTGCTCTCAGTAGCTACAACCCTAGGGATTCGCGTCGCAGATAGGCCTTCGCTCGAACAGCAATCGGTTTCGCTTTCTCCTGTGAGGAATAGCTTGCAGTTAGTCGCTGGGATGCATTTATCAGCTTTTGGTCGAGCTTTTGCGGTATCAGGTTATAGCATTAGTAGAGTCCTGTACCACTTGGAGTTTATGGGGGCACCTAGCAACACCTCGATGAATAACCTGCTGGGAGACTGTGCGGCCGTTATTGACAGGCGTCAACCGCCATCTGTGCGGGACAATGCTGAACGAAGACGGGCCCCGGGTGTGGGAGTTGCATACATGCCGTTTCCTCCTGCCATTGGAGGTTTCGGTCTTATTCCTTTGCACGAACATCTGCGTGCACGATTTGCCTGTTTGTCCTGTCGTGCAATCCTTGGTATGGCTGGTATGTTGGAAACTAACCCCATGTGGACTCGGGTATTACTGGCAATATTGCGTCATATCCACCCGGCAGCCCACCCATTATGTCTGTTGGCCGTTAGGGGAGATGTACGAGATGGCCGTGTCACTACTATCCTGGGTAGGCCTGTGCCGAATGATTGTCCGGCATTAACACGAATTCTATCAGCTATGACTTCCCTACCACAACCTGTCCTTCTGGATGCGCAACATCTAGCTCCGGGTCCTTGGTGTTACCATATCCCTCTTTGGGGAAACCCTTTGCTAAATGACGCTCAGTTGGACGAACATTTTGGTGATCTTAGAAATTTGCGTGGGTTAGATACCGTAGGTATGGCCGTACGATGCCACACAGCTATGTCGTCTACGTGGAATTTGGTGCGCATGGTTGGTGTACAAGGCCTTACTGAGGCGCAACACTTTCATTGTACGAATCTGTTTCGTACTATCGTGGTACGGGGCATATTAGGGCTTACGCCGAGGCATCCCCTGCCGGCATCGTGTCAGTCGGGGGCGACTGCCATAACGCGTATATCGCAACTTATCGACCGCCTACCCCCGCAATGGACCATAGCGGCGATAGTAGCTATTAATGACAGAAACCATGAAATACCGCCTCCGCAAGAGGCCTGGAAAAGAATTGTCAAAAGCTTGGGATGGAGATTTGGTCAAGTGTTACTGCATTTCTCTCAAGTAACGGTTAAATTTGCGACGACTTTACTAATGGCACCTTCTTTACGAACGCTTGATATCAAACATGAAGATTTCATTTTGGATGCTGTTGATATCGTCTTATCGCCGGAGAACTTGGCCAATACTTTGTTGGAATTCCGTCGTACTTTGTCGCGCATGTGGAGACTTCGGTGGGATAACGAGCATAAAGAAGCCTTTTGGAGGCTGGCTCTTGATGGTTTCCCTGCCTTTCCTATGCATAGGGCGCAACGTCAAAGAGGTATCCCGGCTGCTATGTGCCCCTGTGGTGTACGCATGCTTTGTGGGGATCGTCGGCATCATTTCTGGGATTGTACTGTCGCGTTGGCTCTTCGTGAAGCTCTGCAAAACGAACTTGAGTTCCCTGACCTTTTCAACCGGGCTAACCTGTGGTTGGGCATTCCACCAACCTGGATTTGTTCGTGTGTATGGGAGGTTGTATGCCTCGCGGCCATCAGCTCACTCAATCTCGGTCGCCGTTTGTTGTTTAAGGAAGGTCTCCAGACCATCATGCCTATATCAACGCCATCGCTTAACCGCATTACATACGAGGTTATCTCTGACTTTTGGGCCCGTTTAACTGCTTTTGCGGCACGAGATTACTTGCCAAAACATTGGGATCATGTACCTCACAATCACCCTTTCTTATATGTCAATGACGCAGACATGGTTGCTTGCCGTTTACCGATATACAATGACGAAGTTTGAGGGCGCACGTCGGAGCCTCAATTTTTTGTTTAAGCGTACTAACTGAGGCCGTGTGTCCAGTGAAGTTAGTACGGCCTGGCCGAGTTCTTTTTGAATAAGGCCCACAGTGTTGTGCGGGAGGCGTTCCTATGGGCGCTGCACTCGACCCGTTCGGGGTCCACTGTAACAATCGCATCCCTTTTAGGATACATCCTGTCCAAAGATCCAAGGATCCGGACAGGTGCAACTTTACCGGAGGATATCACAATCCTGTGAAAATGTGCGTGCGTACTTGGAAAGACGAATTCGGATACCATCTGTGAGGGCCCGCAAATCCAAGACCCATCCGCACCCGCGTCCCCCTGGGTCCGGCCTCGCTTTCTCATGCGCTTACCCCGCAATGCTTCCCGCATCCCACAACCACACATAAGGATCTCAAAATGCGAATCAGATCCGATGACGGCAGCTGCAGCTAGGCCAGCTTCGTGACGCGGGCTCATCCAAGGGCGCATCCGTGCGGCTATTCAGTATTACATTCCGTCATTCGTGGGACCAATATCCCTTCGGCCCAGAATCAGTGGCCTCATCTGTTAAGCTAGCTAGTCTGGCGCGGATCATAAGTGGAGGAGTGTGACGACTGAGGAGTTACGTGAAGAGTCAGACCCCACGTGCTGACACCAAATTTACATGGACGTGGATCGGGAAACGGAGTGCCACAGGTCGAGCTGGGTTACTCAGGCGAGCACCCTCACAACAACGCATCCTTTCAGACGGGTCGGCAAGACCGCCTCTCATCCGCACGAATCCCGCTACCTGTATCATCGCTATTCCCCTAGGTCTCCTCCCGCAGCGTGCCAGGTCTTTCCAGCTGGGCCCCCTCACCCTCTCCTACTTTCCTAAATCTTTCACCCTTACCAACGCCATTTGCCACGGCTCTCCCTAAACCCCAAACAGCCCCTAGATTTCATCGTCCGCGTCCCGGACGTCCTGAACCGCTACGTCCTCGCCGCCGTCGCCGCTGCCACCAGCTCCAGCAGCCATACCGTCCGCCGTCGCCTCGTGCACCACAGGCTCCCCCCACACAGCTGGCGGCACGGCCAACAGCTCCTGTGGACGTTCCTCCGGCGGCATCACGCACCAGTTCGGGGACTGTACGGCCTTGATCCAGCCAAAGTCGTCCACCTGAGTACGGCAGCCGACCGGTCGTGTACGGTGTTAGATGGATGCGGGAAGGCCATTACAATGATATCCGTTTAGCATATACGATTATTTATGGTATCCGGAAGCACCGGCGCCGGCGGAGGGGTCGAGTGTACATGTCCGGCCCATAAAACAGCTTTATGAGCAATGGCGTGTGTGGCTGTCAGGAAAAGCCCTAGGCCCTGTGCATGTGGCTTACGGACCCCATCAAGCATCCCGCATCTTATTACTTCCCAATCACCATCATTTTTTTGTTTCAAAAACGCAAGCACCGTCAGTTGCGTAAAAGGCTGACATTCTGTGCAATGCACGTCAGCCGGCCAGCCAGCCACCTTGCCAGGCAACCAACCAATGACTAACCACCCACTTGCTGCCAACAGCCGGTCTCCTCGCCTAGCATGTTCGCCTGTGGGCGCAGGGCACCGGCAGGGCAAGGGAAACCGTTCACGACGTTGCCGTGACAGGGCATTTCTTTTCTTAACCGCCAGGTAGCATGACTGTGATAATGATACTGCAAACGGCTCAAGAAAACTGTCGTCTACAAAGACGAAACGCAGAAAGCTCAGAAGGACGAGAGTAAATGCACCTGTTCTCAGTTACTGCTACCGTTATCCGTTCTTGTACCTGTAGCAACCGCTCCAACCGCGGCTCCGGCGCGACGGCCGCGACCCAGGGCGCCACGCGAATGCCTGTGGAGTGCTCGATGATGGGTTTGCTACGAGCCCGCAGGAAGAGGTCCGTGGCATGCGTGCGGTGCACTCGCACCTGCGACAGGGTGGTCGTTGGCTGTTAGAAGTTCCTTGTTGAGGTCTCGTTGCCATCCCAGACCCACGGGCTGGCATTCATTTCTTACTAGCGTCTGCTGCCTCCCCCAAGAAAGACCGATTCGGAAGCTGGGCCAGTAGGCCTCCGAGCTGTAGGTTGTGAAAGCCCAAAGTGAAAGACTGAAAGCGAATGCGGGGCGCATGCGCGCGCGCGTATGCGTACGTGCCGCAGTGACAGACTGGGCCGTTTAGGGCAACTTGGGCTCGGGGCATGGTGTACGGCAACAACACTCAGCCCAGGCCGCGCACAGGCCATGCGCGATCAATGAGTCCGCCATTATTACGGACTATCTTTGAAGACATGAATTAGCTTCATAGCAAACAGCCAAGCTCTGGCTGCTTGATGAACAGGGAGACTTCGGCAGGCCAGTTCCAGAGGCTGGACCGGGTGATGCGGTTTCGGCCCGGCGGGCAGACCAGGGTTTCACACGCCTGGGTGTGTGTGTGGCCGTGCATGCCGCCACGCATGAGGTTGCAAACTGGACATGTCCTCGTCCACACCAGGAATGGGCCTCCAAGTCGCCATATCGCAACCAACCTGATACGTGGCCAGTGATAAGCTGCTGCCGCGCACGTCATCCACGAAGCAGGCGCCCGTCACGGGCCCGGAAACCACCGTACAGCTTCGAAGCCCTGCTATCCGCAGCGCGCGTAGCCGACCCAGCAGCACCACTCGACACCGCGTGAGTCCTAGCAGCACAAAGTCGCCACCGACGCCATGCTCCGAAACCTCGTCTGCAGACAGTACAATAGTCGCGTCCGTGAGGCCTAGTAAGCCGCGCCCGCGTGCTACCAGAGCGCGGTCTTGCTCCGAAACCGTCAGCGCTGCCGGCGCGGCATCGAGCGCGGCGCTATCTGCCGTGACGGTCACCTCCGCCGCTCCTGCCGACGCCTGTACTGCTGATGAGGGTATCGAGGCCGCAGTGGGATGGCCAGAGGCTGCGGCTATAGAAGTCCCAGGCGATGCCGCGTGTGGCGAAGCATCTCTCCCCGGACTGCACGCCGCCGCTGTCCCAGGTGCAGCGGAACCCGCAGAAGCGGCTGGCATAGGCGCTGCCGCCGCCGCCGCCGCCGCTGCGGCAGCAGCAGCTCTGGGGCCGGTCGTTGTTGCTGTCGTTGTAGCCGCCGCGGCCGTGCTTACCTCCTCGCCGCGGACCTTGCTCACTTTCTTGCTGCCGAAGGCAAAGCGCCTGCGAGGGACTAGCGCCGTGCGTGCGGCCTCGATCGAGGCGCGCAGGGACGCTATGGTGGCGGCACATTGCTTCTGGTCGTATGCGGGGAGGTAATACGACGATGCGGCAGCGGCTTGCTCAAGGGACAAAACCTCGGCACTAACCAAATCTAACGAAGCCTGGATATGTTCTGGAGATGCTGTGGAGACTACCAAGTTGACAACGTCGATTCCGTCGAAGTCATCTTGAGCTGCTGCATTTTGCTGCTGAGGCTGTTGCTGCTCTTGCAGCTGTCGGTCACCCTGGTGGCTTGCTAGCATGATCTTCAGCGCCTCATCCACGTTGCGCTGCCGTGCTGAAAAAGTCTTCAGAAACCGCGCTACCGACTCGCGCGGGTCAGCTGCCGCTCGGGACTCCTCCCGGCGCCGATCACGCTCGACCTTCCTGGCTACGTCCAAGCCGGCAAGCTTGTCCAACACCACCGCGGCTGCGGTCGTGCTTGGACATGCCGAGGCGGTAGCTGGGAATTGGACCGCAGGAGGCGGCTCTTGGCTGCAAGGTCCATCAAGCGCGCATGTACCTGCATCTTGGCCAGTCAGCATAGCGTCTATAAACTCAAATTTGCTTGATTTGCTTGTTAGCCTTTGTGACGTATCAGTAATTTGGCACGTGCGTTGCGGACAATCTTAAGGCCGCGGGAAAACTAAAGCTGCAAGCCCTAAGTGAGGAAGGGAACAGACATGATCAATATCAGACATAATCGGAAACGTTAAACAATATATCACGTGCTGCAAACAGGAAAGAAAGATAACTGTTTTAAAGGATTGCTGAGTAAGGGTAGGCCAGCAACACTTTTCAGGCCAATCGGTAAGTGCACGTGGGTATCAAACTGCCACATCAAGCCCTATCTAACATGGAAATTATCGATCTCTCGCAGTCTTGCGCAAGCGAATGTCGTACGACGCTCGCCTGCAACCATCCAGAAGTGCCCTTGCAAGCTTTATCAAGACGTTCGTAATGTCCCAGTATAGGAAGTAATAAAAATTGTAAGTTATTGCCGGTATACCTGTTGTGAATCCTGCATACACAGCTGCATCCATGCTGCATCCATGTAGCTATGCGTGCTGCTGTGTAGTATTTCACGCGTGATGCTGTGTACTAAAGGAGATGATGGCATTGACGGTGTGATATGTAATGATTGCAAAGTTTTTTGACAAGCGGCGAGTCAGGCACTGTGTATGCGAAGTAGAAGGCCGGTATCGTACCCTGTGGCTATGCTCCTCCCAACGCACGCAACCAACCCCACATTACGCAAAGTCCTGGGAAATGCATTTATAACACTTGACGTAATGTTCCTAGGTGGTCAAGACGACGCTTGGAGTCCGCCCGATCCGCAGCTGCCGGGTAAAAACTCTCCCTTCGACCTCGTCCGTGCATCACTGCAGGGCAGTTACTCTGAGCCCCCGGCACCTCATTTGTATAGACCACTCACACCCGAGCGAAACTGACTGCGACGTTGGTGCAGGCGAGCTCGAATATTTAATTACTACGAGATCGTACCAACGGCAGTAACCGTGGACGCCGCGCTGTGGACAACTGCAATTTACCTCCCCCTGATTGGCACTACTTCGCACTGCTTGGCCTGCTTGGTCATTATTTAAATACCGGTACTAGTATTCGTATATTCTTTCGCGCCAGTTAGAGCCCTTTTCAATGACGTTCTGAATGATTCGATTATGGAAAGTCAGCCGACAAGTGGCAGACACGCCGTCCCATTTAACGCTCCCGGATATGAGGCCTGGAGGCTGACTGACACTGGCCACACACGCTCCCCGCAAACGCACGTACAAACAACACACGGCTCTCAAAACCATCTGTTCGGGGGTTATCCATTGCCAGGAACCCCAGGTTGACCACATCTATCACCTCAAAACCAGTTTAACCTTCCAGCCCACGTCAACGCATATTTACGCTTACATATCCATGTACCATGACCAGCATCTCGCGACCCACTCAACTCAGCGCATGTCAAGGGGCCTTTGGCTCGTTGATTCATATAAATCCTCCATCGGCAACAGCCGGCTCCCAGAAGTCCCCAGCCTTGACACAAACGCCTCCAGAACATAACCTTTCGGTAGTACTCAGCAGCACACCGGGATGAAGCCCTCGCCGCTTCCTTGGAGGTGCAATGCCGCAGACTCGCAGTGAGCCTTTGGTACGACTTTGCAACCGTTTGGCGGTTAGAGGGTGATGTAAGCAGAGGCAATGGAACACCACGGGGTACGGGGCATCCTACCATTACTGAAAAGCACATCCGAGGTTAGATTAATACCAAGTTTTATCTGTTAAGCGGCGCCCTGCAAACGTGTTTAACCCTTGTTTTCTAGGGACCACGGTCAGCAGCAGCTGCACAGCGCATTAAAGCATACCCTCTTCAAATTTTACAACTTGACTTGGTAAGACTGCTTTTTCAAACTCTGCGGTGCGGCTCAGCAAGTGTTCCGTGAGTTGGCACAGCATTGAAACTATAGAGGCTTGAATCCTAGCAAGGTTGAGGATCAACGATTGTATGAAAGATTTTTAGCTGCAGAAATTTAGGAATGGCGGACGGAGGCTACGTGCCCGACGATCTGGCGGTTAACAGGCTGCAAATGATGGCCCACTGCGACGAGGCGCAAGCACGCTTCCTATTGGAAGCTGCTGGAGGGAACATGGAGCTAGCTCTACAAATGGCTGTAGGTGAGTCAGGGTGTTATGCCAGGTGCGCACCGTCTGGCGTTGCCTTTCAAATAGGCATGAAAGTGTATCAGACGTCCTCTAAATACCCCTTGCTGCAACACGCAAGGATAACGGACTGAAGTCCTGTGCGAGATGATGCGCGCTTCGCACAGCAACACATTCCCCAACATCAACGTGAGCAAGCCATGCAGCGGCCTAGCTCGCCCTCCCAATTCTTTCGCTCCCATTCCCTTCTGAAAGCCCCTTCGTTCTTCCCTGTGGCCCATCGTGACCAAATCGCTAAGCAATGCCTTAGACAGCTCCGACTTTGGGGACGCGTACACCACCCGTGAGGCAGTTATCGGCGGCAGCAATGCCGGAGGCGGCGGCTTTCCCCACCAGCAACCTCATCTCCACGGCGCAGCCGTTCAGCCAGCGGGGACCGGAGGCGCTGCCGCTGGTGGCGGCGGCGGTCCGGCGACGCTGCGGCCACGCGCACCAGGAGTGCCGCGCGCTGGCGGCGCCCCTGCGCTAGCGGCGCCGCTGAGCCTCCTCGGCTTTGTCTTTCGCATGCCGCTTCTAGCGCTGGGCTTTGGCTTTCGGGTGGTGCGGTTTACATTGTTCAACGGGCTCCACGCTGCGGCGGTGGTGGGCGACCGGGTGCTGCCTGTGCGGGTGATGCGTGCGGCACGCAGCGTAGCGGCGACTATCGCAGCCGGCACGGGGGCGAGCGGCGAGGAGCTCGACCCAGCAGGCCAGGCAGCGGCATTCGTGGCGTCATTCAAGGCATCGTACGGCGACCGGCACCCCCGGTGGCAAGAGTCCGGGTGGCGGGTGGCCTGTCAGCAGGCACGGCGCGAGTTCAAATTCCTTCTTGTGTACCTGCACTCTCCGGAGCACGAGGTGGGATGGCTGCTTGTTTGTTTATTTGTATTGTGATACCGGATCGGATAAGGACCGTGATGCTGGTTAGGAGATATACCTGGAACTTTCCAGGTTGGGTTGCAGGTATAGCGTATCGTTGCGCTTGAGAATGGGGTTGATGGGAAGGTGGAAGTGGAAAGGGAGATTGGATCCTTTTGGATCCGACTTAGCGTGGATTCGGCTTAGCTTGCGAGCAGCAAGTTCAGAGGTTGGGTGAGGGCGGGAGGAAACGATTGGTGGGGAGGGTTGTTCGGTGGGAGGTGGCGAAGAAAGGAGGCATAGGGGAAAACTCTGGAATTGGGTTGGCCTTGCTGTCCCTCCGCGGTACGACCTTTGACTTGCTGACAACAACCACTGGACTCACCACCCCAGCCCACCCACACGCACGTCCGCTACCGTGCAGGACACGGATGTGTTTTGCCGTACCGTGCTGACGTGCCCCGACGTGGTGAACTACATCAACGCCAAATTCGTATCTTGGGGCGGAGACGTAACGGCCGCGGATGCGTTCGTGGTGGGTAGCAGTTGGGGGAAAAAGGGGTGCTGTAGTGGGGAGGTACGGACGTAACTCCATCACAGCACTGCAGCACTTCTTCCCCCCCGCACATGCACGCCTTTGTGTAGCCCGCCAACTTCGTAATGCCATCCAGCTCTTCTTCCCCCCACCTCCTTTTTCACCCCCTCCTCCACTCCCCTCCCGTCCCCTGGGGCCTAACGCTCACGCCACAACCCACCCAGTCATCCTAAGCAACCCAACCGAGCTAAGCTGACCCAGATCGCCGTTTTTAATTTTTTCTTCTCCCGCAACTCCGCCACTACACCTCCCGGGGTCTTGATCCTCCGAACCTCCAAGCTCTCCAGTTAGCCAGTTAGGGCTTTATGCACGTGATAACTGCACCGACCCATCCGCTACCGTACCTGTTCTCTCTCCCTTCTGGACATCACACTTTGGACATCAGTACATGATTCTTTGCTTCTTGTGTATGTTTTCCCCTTTCCCTTTTTTGGCAGACAAGTTGCAACTTTGGGCGTCGGCACTTGTTTAATTAGTATGTGTATGTATGTACATACGTACATACATGTACACATTTTCCCCGCTCTCTTTTCTCTCACCCCCCGCAACCACCTTGGCAGCAGCTTCACTCGTTTGTGGTTCGTCTTTCGCCCCCGGGTCCCCCTCCCTCCCCCCCGCCCCGCAGCTCTCCCAGCAAACCCAGATGGCGGTCACTCGCTTCCCCTACGTGGCCCTGCTGTCCGTGTCGCCATCAGACGTCCGGGTGCAGCTCGTCGCATCCGGCTCCGGAGCCGCCATCAACGATCCGCAAACACTTCTCACGCTGCTGCGCGGCGCGGTCGCCAACTTTGGTGCACTGCTGGAGGCGCAGCGGGCCGAGGCAGAAGTGCGGGTGCGTGTTTGCGCGCGTGCGTGCTCTGTTGTTCTTAGCTGTGGGCAGGAGCTGATGAATATGTGTTTGGGAAAGGTGGAAAGGCGGAGGAGGGCGAGGTGGTGTTGTGAGGGGTAGGAGGTGGTGTGAGGGGGAGGTAGGAGGGGGAGGTAGGAGGGGGAGGTAGGAGGGGGAGGTAGGAGGGGTGAAAGAGGTGTGCGTCACGGTCGGGGAATCCAGGGACGAGACGGGATAAGGTGTACAGGGCACGGTGGAAACACCCGCCTCTTCCAGCCTTGTCCCGTTTTCGAATGAAACAAGGCTGGGAGAGGCGGGTGTCGTGTGGCTGGATTTCAAGTTTAAATTCAAACTTGGATTTGGGTCAAGGTTGGGTCAGAGGCTCGGCACGGTGGCCCCACGCAGCTTCTTGAAACAACATGTCTTTGCTGCTCCTGTTTTAACGACGTTTCATACCTCTCAAGACCCCCCAAACCTGTTCCTTTTATTTGATATCTGCCGCAAACGCAGGCTACAGCCCGTAGGCTGGTGGAGGAGCAGAACGAGGAGTACGAGGCCAGCCTGGCCGCGGACCGGCGGCGGGAGGCGGAGCGGGCGGAGGAGCGGAGGAGACAGGTAGGATGAGGATGAAAAGGGAAGGGAAGGCGGATGGAGGCGGCGGTGGGGTTGTCAAGACGGAGGGGAATTGGTGCAGGAGGTGGGTACGGGCAGAGAGCTGGGGAGTTGTCGGGATGCGCGTTTTTATATATTGTGTAGCGAAAGTGAATGGAGGCGAAAGAAAGAACGAAGTAAGAGCCCTTACATCAAGGCATCTGATTCGTTCGCGGACGCGGATTTTGTGTGTGTGTGTGTGTACGCGTGTATGTATGCGCGGTGCCCTTTTTTTAGGTACCCTTGTGGGTACCACTTTTCTGAACTCCTACCTACCTACCTACCTACCTACCTACCTACCTACCTACCTACCTTCGTAGGAGGAGGAAGAACAACGCCGGCAGGAGGAGGAGCGCAGAGCGAGGTGGGTGTATCCTGGGAAGGCTGGCTGGCTGGCTGGTTGGCTGGATAGATTGATGGATGGATAGATAGGTAAGTAAATGGATAGATGGCTGTGTATTTGCCGGCCCGCACGAGTCCGGTCGCTCATCTAGAGATGACGATTAGGAGCTTTCAAGGTAACACCGGTAACCGTAGCAATCCTGGAAAGACTCGACCTACAGCCTCCTGAACCTCCGCCGAGTCCCGTTCTCGGGACCTCCGACTTTCCTGACCTCCATCCCTGCACCGATCACTCAATTGTTCGACCACCGCGCATGGCAACGGCCATGGCCATGGCCGTAACTCCGTGCAGGGAGGCGGCGGCGGCGGAGGCGGCTCGTCAGGCGGAGGCGGCCGCGGCGGTGGAGCAGCGACGTCAGGCGGCTCGTGCTGCGCTGCTCCCCGAGCCCCCCGCGGGATCGGAGGGGAGCGCCGCCATTCGATTGCGGCTTCCGGATGGCACCAACACGGCGAGGTGCTTTCCGCGGGGCGCAGCTCTGCAGGTCGGGGTGTTGCACGTGCTGTAGGGGGACGGGGCGTCCTGTTGCCGCGGATGGTGTACCCCGGGGTTAGACGTTTGGGTGCTTTGGGCGATATTGTCGTGAAAAGGAGCCATTTCTTAGCACGATTTTTATTTTTTTATTAAGTAACCTCTGCATATGCTCGTTGTTTTGCCGGCATAGACTGCCCATCTTTTCAACTCTTTTATCAACCTGGACCCACATGAAATTATTAAAGGTACTACGGCGCGCAGTACGCAGTGCGCGTCCAGGTACGTTCCTCCCCAGTTACTCCACTCCATGCACCCACGTGCTCGGCCCCTACCTCGCTCCTGATCTGGGGCTGCAGGCTTTGGCAGTCGGTCATTCGAACCCCGCAGTCCCCTCCTTATATGGGATCACGATCTCCTGCATGCGGCTACATCCTCCGTTCGTTCCGCGTGCCGTACATATCCACAGGCCGTGTTTGACTTTGTTGACTCGCTGGACGCCACGAGCTACAGCCGATATCATTTGGTAGCCAACTACCCACGTCGGGTGTTTTTGCGTGCGGCGCATGGCCCCGCATCGCTGCAGGAGCTGGGACTGACACCGCAGGTATGCGCGCGTCGTGACGGTGGCGGTGGTGGCAGTGGTGGTGGAAGGAGGGAAAATGGGTTTAGGTCGAGCACAGGCCGGCGTGGGACGATGGGGTTTCGGTCCCGGGAGGACCGGTGAGAGGGGGCGGCCGGCACTGGTGAACCTTTGTGCCTCGCATACCTCCTATCATCGCTCCATTTTAATGTCGTCCCTGTTTTTCCCCATCTTCCCTTCCCCGCCCCCCGGGGTTGTCGCCTCGTCATTTCTTCTTCTCTGGGCTTCCGTATGCATCGGGATCTCGCAGGCAGCATCTGCCTGTGTGTTGTGTCGTGTGGTGTGGCCTCCCTTCCGGTGCACCTGCTTCCCACCTACCCACGCAACCCATTCTCTCCAACACTCTGCTTTTCGCTCGCTGAACGTTCAGTACTCCCTACGAGGTGATGATCACGTGGCGACTGCCTTGTTTTCCGTTGTGTTGTGTTCCTTCTCCCGCCTGTGCGCTGCTTCCTTTTGCTTCCAGGCCGCCCTCTTCGTGCAACCGGATGAGTGAGAGTGGGTTGAACCGCAGCTCTTCCGCCTCTCCTTCGAGACCTGATAGTGCTGTCGTCGTCGTCCGCGTGCGTGTCTTTCCTCTCGCCAACCCGTTTCCCGGTCCCTGGCCCCCCCCACTGTTTTGGGTCAGGCAGAAGTGCATTGAGAGGTGGTGGTGGTCTATCGTAACGGAGGTGAAAGGCTGAAAGGAGTGTCTGGGATGGGCGGGGTAGGTGGGTGGCTGCGCAGGTCGTTTGCTTTGGTTTTGGGCTCGCCGAAAAAACCATCTCGCGAAGTCTCGAGATCCTGCGCAGGTGGGCTTTTAGCAGCACCAGGGAGTTGTGTATGTACATGGAAGGGCAGGGCCTCATATTTGAAGTTGAGGTGATGGGGCTGCCTTTACTCCCTCTTTCCGTCTCCTGTTGTTCAGCGTAGGTGACTTGGCGGGCGGGTGGAGGTTCGTCACTTGGCGAGACCGGTTAGGGAGGGAAGCGTCCTGTAAGCCAGCGCTTGGCCAGGAGCAACATGACGCATTGTGTAGGCGCGGTGTGGAGCGCGGTGTCAGGTCGCGGCGCGGCGCCATGCAATTTTTTGAGGCAGAGGCTTAAGGCGCAAGACTGCTGCTGCTGCTGCTGCTGCTCATAGTGATGTTGTTAAAAGGAGCGCTTTGATTGCGCACCGTTCAGAAGCTGGGCCGTCATGTCCTGCGGGCCCCCTTCTGCTAATCCATCTTTGGTTTGGTGGGTATTGGAAAGTGAATACGCAGACCAGCAGGCGCTGAGATCGAAAATGTTTGTTGTGTATACATATACACGAATCAGGGGGCCTGGGACTTAAAAAGAAGGCGCTCAGGGCAGGGCGTAGAGTAACTTCATTTCAGCGCTTCCTTGTTATTAACGTGCTAGCGTTGCGTATGGGTTTGCAGGCTACCCCGTGCACCCGGCCACCACACGCAGTTTTGTTACTCGGCTCATTTGGTACCCGGTTTTCGACGAGACCATATCTTCTTTCCTGTAATTACGGGGTCTTCAATGGAGCTGTCGTCCACTGCGAGTCCAGACATCGTCACACAGTGCCTGTGGGAAGGGCGTTGTGGTCGTGATGCAGGCATAAGCCCCGTGCCTGCTTGCGCCCAACATGCTCTTAAGCTCCCGTCTGCAGCCCTCGCCACTAAAACGCCCACAGGATTCCACATGATGGGCCAACCAGGAATTCACATGGCGAAGTATAAGCATTGGATGGGGCTGGCGGCCGAGCAAGCGGGCAGGAAGGAGGTGCTCCCGCATATCGCAATGTTTATCCTGCGTTCAGCGAACCGCAAGCTTATGCAGTTTAGGCTTTGCTGTTGGGCATTGGCGGCTAACAGAGAGCGTAAGGGACGGCGTTATATACCTAGGGAGGAGCGAGTATGCCCTTGCTGCGGCACTGATAGCCATATCGAGGACGAGAAGCACATTTTGATGGACTGTCCGGTGTACAACAAAATCAGATCTGATATGGGTTTCCCACGCTTCGAGCATATGAAGGACGCTATGAAGTGGGAACCTGAACGCCTGGCAAGGATGCTGGAACGCATATGGTCCCACCGCAACTCTATCGTTCCCTTTGGTCGTTAGTATCCTTCATTACTTGTTTCGTTGGAAGTGCGAGGTAGGATGGTGCTTATAGGCGATTTGGCAGCCCTTGAGCCCTCGGCTCGTATTAGGGTGGTTTGCAGGTACGGGGAACGCACCCACGACCATGTAACAACAACAACAACATGATGGGCAAGTGCGGCTGCCCACGCCTCACCTCGCAACGGCGATGAGCTGAATTGCATTAATGATCGCCCTGTTGGCTTTTTGCCTTACTACGCGGTGTAGCAGGCCACAAGTATCTTACAGCAAAAGCAAACGACAAACGAGGCAGGAGCCGCCAGCATGTAACCTGAAAATGGCAAATCCGCGACTGCACGAAAAAACATTACACATTAGACAATCAGTATTGTCCGTACCGTCGAGATTCATGAGTGCAACACCGACTGCCTAAGCCATGAAAACTTTGCGTTTCAGTTTCGCCACACACCCACACCTACAGGAGCCAGCAGCGTGACGAGTCAGCATTATATAAAGCGGGTTGCTGGAGATGCAAATCTTATGTCTCGAGGCACGGGCACCGACCGCTCGCTTCAAACCCTCTTTCCGTCGAAGCCCTTCACAACCCTAATACTCCCCCCTAAAAAGGGAAAAACGCAACATCCACCGCGATACGGATCGTATACTTTCCCGATAGCCCCCCCCATTACATCCTCCACACCGCAAGAGGGCTTCGGGGCCACAATCAGCGGCCATTAGCTGTAAGCGTTTTCCTAGCGTCCGTCGTGCAGCTGCAAAAGAGCACTCGGAGCGAGTGGCGCAGAATCCAACAAAGGACATTTTGCCCGTGTTTGTTCCCAAAACCGTAATGCTGCCGCACCGTCTATTGACTTGCGCAATACGCGAGGGCAGAGCAAACAAGTGGCAACCAGTACTGGGCTACCGCCGGGAAGGGGCTCTACGTGACAGAGGAAACCCGCTTTCTCTGCCCACCGCGACTCGGCACGCACAATAGGGCATGTATACTCCCTCCTCTCGTTGCCCGTACCCACGCAAATCCTCCACACGCACATGACATATGCACACACGCGTAGAAACACGCGTGTACATGCACACACGGATAGCCGACACATGCAATACCAATACACCATCACAGATATGCGTGCACACATGTCGAAAGGGGTCCCTTCCAGCCCGCCCCTCATGGAGTCAAAACGTGCGACAATGGACAGGCCACGTGGATTGGGCCTTACAAAGTCATGTCAAGCGAACAACGACAGCATGGATCGAAGCGGAGCGGACCTTCACCAATGGCCCTCGCGCCGGGACAATGCCTCCCCATCCTCACCCCACGCGCCCCCTCCCCGTGCGTACCTCTCCTGCAACGCGCTCCCAATTCCCCAGCGGAACTGCCGGAAAAATACAGACACAACAAGACAAGCATAGCAACCTAACGTAGCCGCTACGAGAGCAGGAGCATCTTAGCAAGGCCAGGCCACACGTTCCTATCCCACCAAAGAAAGGGGCACTGCTGTTTACCTGCTCCTCTCTCCCTGCGCGCGTCCGACCGCCTGGTCCCCGCCCGGCAGCTGCCCATCGAGGATGGCGTCAGTTCATGGATCACAACCAGCAGTGAGATTTGCATCGTCCCAGGGGCAATTTTTCTTGGAAGACTGGAGCGCAGCACAGCAGGCCGCATACATTCTTCCATGGATACCATGGGCGCAAGACAACTGAGTGGCGGTGCGAAGCCCCAAGCATGCGCCCCTCCGTGCGATCCAAAACAATGTGCAGAGTCCATACACCAATGTGCGCGCGCACCGTTTAAACCGCAATACGCGCATTGCACACCTGCCGCAACTTACGACAACCCAACTCCTGCGTCAACCATCAAGTTGTAAGTTGGCACCGTCATCCCCACGCAAACCCCAACGCAATCCGCTGCTTGTGGTCTCGTGATCGTTCAGAGAAATCTACGCCAATAGCCCTGGGGCCGTTTCTATGTTCTAGTGACACAGGCACCACACAACGTCCGTCCTTTCCGCCACCAGCCAGTCTCCACCCTCCTCACCTCCTCAGGTCACCACAAGGAGCAGCCTTAACCTACGCATGCCCCATGCCAGCTTGAAACGGCCACAAGCGGCCGGCTGTACATCTGTTAACAACGGAAAAGTAATTTCCACGCGGTATGTCACTTGCTGTGTGCTGCACAAACCTTTTTAAGACTGCCCGCTCCCCGATAACATGCATGACTTAGGAAAGGACGTGCAGAGGATCCTTTCCCCCTCGTAATTGCCGCTTTCCCGACTATTTTGTCGTCGCAGCTGCCTCCACTTTGGCTCGCCAGGGCCCAGAGATGAGACGCCGGAGACCGATTTCCAAAGCGCTATCCCTTTCCACGGGAGCTGCTGTCGTGGTCAGCCCCAGCATGGATTGTAAATTTGGCTTGACGTTTAGGAAAGTTGGCAAAAGGCACAGAACCATGTCTAAGCGAAGCACGCCTCGCGGCAGTTGCATGTCCCCACCTCCTCCTGTTCCGTCCTCATGCCACGTGGGAGGCTGCGTATACCCATTGGTTGAAATCTAGCCGGATCTGGCCCGTTCGCTGCGGGTCAAACGCCGTGAAAGTCCGAACACAGCTCTGAAGGAAGAGACACATCCGAATATACTCATCCAACGTGAGCGTTCCCGAGTTGTCCGGATCGTGCCGAGACATCATAGCCACGAGGACCGGCTCGTCGAGCTGAAAGCCTGGCGTTTCGTAGCAGCGTGTGGGGTGGGGGGGGAGGGAACCCGGTGGACAAACGTACAGATTCCGAAACACAGGCCGGTTTCAATCCCTGCGCGGTTCCAGTCCCTGCGCCTGCAGCGGAAGCAGGCACAGCGCTACACCTACACTAGTGCGAACACCTGTCAGGAGGACAAGGAGGCCTACCTGAATGACGCAATGCCTGCCGAACCTCGTCCCGAACCAGCGTCCGGCTCCGGTCAGCATCGAAGTATGCGAAGCTGCTCTGGATATTGACAAGAAATTCGTGCAATCGCTGGAACTCCATCAAACTTAACCGTCTTCGCCCACGTGTGTCGAACGCCCTGCGCATGATATGCGTCAGGCATTCCCTGAGATGCCAAAGCTGATGTCTTTTGCAAAACGTTCCTAGTTTGTCTCACCGTATCATTTGGTCCACGTCGGAAACTCCAAAGTGCAAGTTGCCCAAGGACAAAGCCCGCTGCAGTTCGCCAACGTCAAGCTCGCCACTCCTATCAATATCAATACTTTCAAACCACTGCCAACGAAGTGGCACAAAGGGATTGGAAGGAAAGCAAGCAGCGAGGCGAACGGGAGCGGCAAAGGAAATGCACTTGAGTCTTTACGCACGGCGGTCATCAAAATTGAACGGCAGTGAACGGCAGCAGTAAGTCTGGGTACGTATGTCTTGCGTGCATAGCAAACACCCAGTCCTCACCTGCTGGATGTTGTTGTTGGCCATATTCATGGCCCGCGCGTGAGGTCCTTGTCCCGCCAGCAAGAGTTCACAGTCACTATAGTATCCAATCTTGCAAGGAATGAAAGGTGGCAACAGCTGGGCCAGAGTAAGTTGCCAAAGATGTATCTAAAAGACGTTAGCCCTTTCGTAAGCTAGAATTGTCATACAGAGTAAGTAATTCGAGTGTTTGATTGTCCCTGCTAGCATTAGCTGTAACTACCGCCCTGTTGGATAGCAGGTTGCATTGGCGTACGGCCTGGGGGAAAGGTGAATAAGGTCTGCGGTCTAGCCGTTGGCTTGCACGACATGGCACAAATTCTTCCACTTTGGACTATTTGATTTCCCGCAGGAAGCTGCTGCCTCAGCTATCGGGCCCACACGCAGGCTTGCGGTGTCGCCACACTGAGTGCTCCTGTGCCTTTAAAGCATGCACACAACGCCGCAGCTATTAAGGACCGTTCCTCTGGAGGCCATTCCTTCATCGTTGATCGCAGTTGTCGGAGCGCCTGTGCCTTCTCCGGCTCCGGTCAAAACCTTGTGTACTGTGCAGAAGTCCTGTTCAACCTGGTTCACGTCCCCAGGCTTACACTCTGTGTCACGCACAGAATGGCACATGTTATCATAGTATCTGTGAGGCGAACGGAGTGTACAACAAACCGCTCTCTCGCCCGCGGGTTACTCGAATTCAAAGGCGCCTGCTTCTCAAGGCTCGTCGCTGCGCGACGCCTTCACGCACGGCCAGCGAAACCGCCCGCCAAATGTCCACCGATACACGATACAACGTGGTTATTGGGAAAGGCAGATGCTGGCAAGGGAAAAGCTCATTTGCTTGAAAGCAAAGTTTCGACCGGTCGCGAAGTAGTATGCCAGGAAACCCGTTTTACTTGGTCTTGGCGATCGTGTTTTTTCTCCTGTTTTCCCCATAGCACCTGGGAATGAGGCGGATCCCCCTGAAGCCATCACGCACTACGACCTTCCCAGCCCAACCATCATGTACGGCTACCCGTCTCACATTCACTACTGCAGTCCCGCCGTGCAGTGTACGGCAACCGAACGTAATCAAGGCGACTGTCAGCGGAAGTACGGCAAAAGCGCGCCAGGAGTACCGTAGGCAACCCTGCCGTACCCATGTAGAAAGAAGGACGGGTTACTGTAGGGTGCGTTCAGAGGCTGTTCAAAGCATGCCTCGTGGGTTACGGTGTTGCTCAAACTCCACCGTGCTGATGACACAGAACCACCACGCCCGTTAAGGTTGCAGCTCTTTGCGGCTGCGGCTTTTGCTTGTGGCTTTGTTATACTGACACTGTGGCGGAAGTTTCTGTCACTTCCGCTCCCACCCGGGGCTGCGGCAACCTGGGCTGGCTGAGCAGCTCCCAACCGCAATGTGCTAGGATGCGTTTACTTTCCCTCGGGCTTTGTTTACCTGGCTTCAATATCTCCGACGACACCTTGCCTAGAACCGCTCGGGTCAACTGCAATGCCTACATGTAATATGAGTACGGCAGTACGCAACGAGGATGCGCTGCTCGATTCCAGTAAAATACCTTGCACAGACAAGAGACTCCTATGCCGTGAACCGCGCTCTGCTGGGCGCAAACTCCCACCAAAGTGATGCCATGTATGGGCTGTCGTCCCACACACCTCCTGCTGGCACTAAGCAACATTTTGCCCAACAACAGTTCGGTACACGTCTCCACCGCTGTTCATGTGCGTCTCAGCGCGCGTGTGTGTGTACGCACAAAACATTTACAAGGCTTACGCCTGTCTGCACGTCAGCATAGGAATCGAGCTTCCAACTGAATTCATGGGCCCCTTCAATGGATTCACGGATGCGGCGTGGACCAGCTCTAAACGATGTTAGTCAGGCACCAGATATTCGTGTACTTGAAGCTTTCACGTCGCATTTGAGGGCCTTTTGCAGAAGTATGAAACTAACTTTCATTACTCCTGCTAGGTTAGTTCCTATGTAAGGCTACAAAGCGCGTCTGCCATATCTCCGCGGCACTGGGAGCTCATAGCTCAGCGCCCCGGACGAATCGACTTGGACCGTCCCCAAACGGTGCCTAACCACCTAGGCCCATGGGTCCGTGGCACGTCCAGTCTTCTTCCCTTAGTTCAGTAATACATAATATGACTCGTGTTATTTGCCTGCATGGCAGCAGATGGGGATAAACGGGAGGGCCTCAGGCGGTGAAGTTGCGGCGTTAAACCACCAGCAAGCTCATTTAATTGATAATGTCAAACAGTTCACACCTGTAAGCATAAGGATGTTGCGTTAAAATTTGTTCCTAGGACACTTCACCGTTTGACAGGTTGTCGTATCCGCCAGCCTTCTGTAGCAGAACTCAGCGCCACTGTTTTGTGCATTTAGGTCGTTGCAGATATGTCTAATTACACAGGCATCTCTAGATCAGCGCACTTGCATAAATAGGCAGGCCGTTCATCAATCGCGGCCTTGGCAGCTCAGGATACATTTCCTAGCCAGTTATGCAATAGGGTGCACGGATTGAATTGACAATGTTGCCCTATTCCAGTGCCGGTGCTTATGGAGGTAGCCCCTACGGGTACGTTGTTTCCTTCTTAACTCCAATGTCTCCCCCTATACGTCGACCCAGAAAGACGCACCCAATGCTCAACCTCGCAGGCGGCGAAAGGGCCTTTTAGGCACACAAAACAGCGTAACTGGCATCCTCGCGCTGGTGGCCATCGCTGCACTTGGTTTTTCAATCTTCACCCACTTCCGTGCTTCATCGGCTCACTCCCAGAAAGCTGCCCTCAAAACTGAGGTTGACAGCCTGCGATCGGAGCTTCGCAGCATTCAGGTGCGCCAGCAACCCCTCGACGCTCAACTTTCCGTGGCATCGGCAGCTGATCAAGCTACCGTGTGCCGTCCCACGGTAGTATGTGATGCTGTGGGGCTCCCTATCTGGAGTATGTTATGTACCTGCGGTTCACCCGAGTCCAGCATCTTCCACGTGCCGGTTGGAGGAGGGGTTCACACCCGTCTGTCTGTCCAACTCGCCACCATGCCTATGTTTCGTCTTCCCCTTCGCTTGTCGGCGCAATCTGCACTCCCCTCCCTTTGGCTTTCCTCCCCCTCGGCATTTCCATGCCCGCACCGTTCTCTCTCTGTCCACCCGATCTCATTATCGGCCCTGGCCCTGCCGCCCTCGTTACACTAAAAATGGAAACCCAACAGAGTCAGTTTTCCTCGCGCAACGCGGAACTGGAGCAGTTGCAGCACACGTATGGTCACAACCAGCGGCGGATTACCGAGCTGACCAACCAGCTCCAGCGCAAGGAGGCAGATCTGGTCAGCAAGGAACAGGCGCTGCAGCAGCAAGCTAAGGAGGTGGGTCGGGGTTGATGTTGAGGATTTACATGGTGGTGGAGGGGCATCATGCGCATGGAGGGAAGAAGGTTTACGGAGAGCCGGGGAGAGAGCGGAGGGAATGCATTCATTAAGGAAAGGGTCCGTTAGGGAAGGGGGGGAGGGCAACTGGGGAGACAAGATGACACTATGGGGACATCCGGGTGACGGGGGAGAGAGAAGGGGGATTAACCCCGTGGTGGCGAGGATGATGAGGATGAGGGTGAGGGGTGAAAGAATAGAAATGGCCAACAGCCGACGCGTCCGCCGCACCAAGGACAAGGGGCAGGAGAGGGGCAGGGGACGGAAGCGGTATTTGGTAGGGGGAGCTGGTGTTTAGAGCTACGCAGGGAACCTAGGGTGGGGCGGTGCTCATAGAAAGCTACAACCGAATGCGCAACCGGAGCAGCAGCAGCAGTAGCAGCAGTAGCAGCAGTAGCAGCAGTAGCAATAATAGCAGGGCCATGGGGATACTCCGAGGGTTTGGAGCGGGTGTGGCCAGCTTCTTTTCCGTGACTGCTCCCTCGTCCTCGTTTGGCAGCTGCCGGGATACCCCTGCCTGGATTTGGATCTTGCCTTGGTTCTAACCTGGATTTTAAGCCTGGATTCGTAATTTTTGGTGCACATGTACCTCAGCGGGAGATTATCGACCAGCATCGGAGCGGACGAGAGGTTGAGCTGACTAAAATGGTGGAGGACCTGCGGGCTGAGTGAGTGGGATCATTGGGGTTCTTTAGGGTTTTAGGGTTTTAGGGTTTTAGCGAAGGGTTTCCTTAGAGTTTTAAGATGGGCTGCTATCGGCTTAATTAGTTTTGTTTAGTTCGGTTGAAGGTTCTCTTACGGTGAAGAGGGTTTGGGGATTTCTAAGATATTTTTAAGCAGGCAGGGTCCGTTTATGGGGACGTGTCGGAGGTGTATTCGGATGTGTGGTTTGGTGGGTTGATGGCATTCCGGGAAGGGTGACATCCACACACACACCCTTCCACACACACTCTACACACTACACACTACCGACTACACACACGCAAACCCGCGGCCCACGGTAATTTTAGGCGTCGATTGACAATTGACAGGACCTTTGGTTATTACATAACGATGTGGGCTTCCCCTTTCCCCCCTACTGGTCAGTTCTGCTTCTTGTACACTCTTTCCTTGGCAGCAGCTTCACTCGTTCACGTGGTTCGTCTTTCCCCCCCTCCTTCCCCTTCCAGGCTGCTTCGCTCAGACGGAGTCATTGAGGCCCTGGACACCAAAATGGCCAAGATGGAGGCCACCCATGTGACCCGGGAGAAGGACTGGCATGGGCTGGCGAACAAATGGATCAAGTACGAGCAGGACCTGCATGAGCAGTACAAAAAGTAAGAAGAGCACGGGGAGGTAGGGAGTGAGGAAGGAAGGACAGAGGACGGGAAAGATGTGTGTGGCGACGGGGGATCTCTCTCCTGGGAAAGTGGTGTGCGGCCTCCACCACCACATGATGGCGATGATGGTCTGCCCGCCCACTGTCACTGTCACTGCTACCGTCACTGTCACTGTTACTGTTACTGATATACTGTTGTTACTGTTACTGATATACTGTTGTTACTGTTACTGATATACTGTTGTTACTGTTACTGATATACTGTTGTTACTGTTACGGATATACTGTTGTTACTGCCATTACTGCGCAGATGTACAGAGGAGGTCTCGAAGCTCAGAAACCTGACCATGGCCCTGGTGAGTTTGTAGGACTGGGAGAAGAGGGAGGGAGAGGGGGAGGGGGAGGGCAACTGGATGAGGGAAACACCGTGATGGGGTCGCGGGGAGCCCTTCCGCCGTTTTGATAGGGGGTAATGTGGGCGTGCGCGCCATGTCTCGTCTATGGCAGTGCCGGATGAAATTCGAGAAGGGAATGGCGGCTAAGGGTTGTGCGCTAAGGGTCCAAAACGTGCATGTGTGCGTATGTGTGTTGTTCCAGTGTTTGTGTATGTAATTAAGGAGGGAATGACCGACAAGGACTGAAAGAGAGAAGAAACCAACAGACAAAGGGAGCCAACGAGATCCATTTGAAACAACACGGCAACATTTTCAGAATAAGCGTCGTGCCCCCCCGCACCCGCATCCCTCTAGGGAGTATGATTTCCGTATTCACCCAGAAGGTGTCTTGGGGCTTTACGGAGTTGGTTGTCTTTGGCCGTGATTGATGCTCTCTTCACTCCCCTGTCGTAAGTCTCTCGTCGCAATCACGCAGACCATAACTTTCCTTTTGCGCGCATTTTCATCTATTGGCCACCGTCCTTTCCTCGCGGGGCTCATTTTCCTGCCCCGTTCGCGTGCACACCTCTCCCTCGTCTACTCGTCGTCATCACTGTCGTCGTCGTCGTCGTCCTTGTCGCCCTTGGTTGCGAAGAACGACACGGCGCCCCTTCCGGAGGCTGAGCCCACGTTGCGGCCCGAGACGGACTTTGGGCAGATCCATGCGGATATCCCCGTGCATAAGGTGCGCGTGTGTGTATGTGTGACTGTACGGCGGCATTACCAGGCTGCTGTTTTCCTTTCCTTTCCTTTCTTTTTCTCCTTCAGTTCTTCTGTATTACTATTTCTGAACACGTCAATGGATTCCTATTTCTCAGCAAGACGTTTATTTGCCTGCTTTGCAAACAGCCACGAGTGCATGGCCCTTTGGAACGCCAGTAGTGGCTCTTTGGCCCTTTTTTGTCCCGACAGCTCCCTTGACGCCTTTCCCACTGAATTCCTCACTGGCGTCCTTCCGACCACCTTGTTTCCCACCGACTTTCCGACCCCCCCGGCTCTCCAGCCGCACCACTTTGATCCGCTTCAACCGCCAGCGCCGGTGCCCTCGCCGGCGCCGGTGCTGAGCAACACAGCCGACCTGCCACTGCCGGAGACGAAAATCCGGGACTCGATCGTTCAGATGACGGCCGGAAAAGTGGGCCTGGAGGCCGGGCAGCAGGCGCCAGCTGGCAGTGGCGGTGACGGCAGTCTGCAGGCTCCGGAACCGGCCCAAGTCCACCATCATGACATTTATCACCAGGATTTCCATCATGAAGAGGATTTGGGTCATACTCATAACTACGACCACTACCACGGCCATTACGACTCTTATGACCCCATGGTGCGACCACTTGCTCTGGGTTGGGGGTGGGAGGTAGCGGCGGCGGTATTGTGCGTGCGTGGGAGGTCCAGGTAATCTGTATGATGTATGTGTGGGGCAAGGCCTATGAGCAAGTGATTGGTTGAGTAAATAGAGCGAGATATCGAGAGATTTTTTTGTAAAGAGCTGGCTAGCGTGTTTGTGTATTTTTGTTCTGGTGGTCCCGGCTTTGCTGCTCATGATACCTTGAGTCCCTATCACGCCCTGGCCCCTCCCCCCCTTCCTGGCCAGTTCTGCTTCTCTTTCCTTGGCAGCAGCTTCACTCGTTCGTGGTTCGTCTTCCCTCCCTTCCTGGGCCCCCTTCCCTCGCTTCCCTGACCCTCCCTTCGCTGCTATGCAAACAGGATGAGTGGTGGCTTCACGACGCCCATGGAGACTGGAACGCAGATGACCACAGCCATGGCCAGGCGCAGGGTGATGACGTTGGCTACCGCGATCAGGACCACCACAACTATCATAATAGCCACGACCAGCAGCACCAGCAACACCATCATCAGCAGTATGACCAGCACAACCACCATCAGCACCCACCGATGCCCGACGCTGGTGGTGGCGACGTGCACCATTACCATCATCCCCAGCCGCCGCCTATGCAAGGCATGGACCAACACTATGCACAGCACGCGCAGCACGCTCCCAGTCACGGGCAGCAACCCGACCCGCAGCAGCAGCAACAGCAGCAGTACCACCACCCACAGCCCCCACAGCAGCAGCAGTACCATCACCAACAGCCCCCACAGCAGCAGCAGTACCATCACCAACAGCCCCCACAGCAGCAGCAGTACCAACAACAACAGCCCCCACAGCAACATCATTACGAGCATCAGCAGCCCCCACAACAGCAGTACCAACAACAACAGCCCCCACAGCAGCAGCAGTACCATCACCAACAGCCCCCACAGCAACATCATTACGAGCATCAGCAGCCCCAGCAACAGCATTACCAACAACAACAGCCCCCACAGCAGCAGCAGTACCACCATCAACAGCCCCCACAGCAACATCATTACGAGCATCAGCAGCAGCACGGCGATGCGCACCAACACCATCATCAACAAAACCACGAGCACCCACGAGGGGATTTGGCATACAAGATGGGGTGGTGAGAGCCTAAAGAGACAATAAACGGGGCTTTTAGCTGGTGCGGCACGGAGGCGGCGGCAGAGCGCACGCTGCTACCGAGCCGCGAGCCGTTCGTTGGTTGCTTGTTTTGGATGTATTGGGCCGGTATTAGGAGCTATTTCATCCGGACCCCACGCCACTTCCCTATGATGATGCTGGAAAAGGATACGGAACAAAGAGAGAACTGATGAGTGGAGCGGGAGGGCGTGGGTTGTGTGTGAACGGGGCTGCTTGAGGAGATGTAGTGCGTACTGTGTTGGGTGCTCCAATAATGCTTTGCGTTGTCGCACCAATGGGATGCAGTGAGGGTGCAGGGGAGGGGCAAGGGTGGGTCGGGAGAGGTAAGCTTTGCAGACGGGTCGAAGCCAGAGGGATTGTTGGGTAAGGGGTGTGTGTGTGTGTCGGGGAAAGGACCCGCCGTGTCATGGGGGGGGAGAACCTCGACTTGAGCCTCAGCCCCGTTAACATTGCTTCTTGTGGACTTATAAAGACGTTTTTAGCAGGAGCAGGAGCCCAGGGTTAGCTTCGGTCCACATCCAGCACCCTCGAGAACGTATCGACAAGGATGGCCTACATGCTGTGATCTCGTATAGCCATGGTGGCTGGGAAAACCATTTGGCACTCTTTTGACAGGATGCCGAGGATTGCGGGAGGGGTCTTGGTCAGACCTAGCCCGGTGGCCAGGCTCTCTGGCTCGGGCTTTCGCATGCTCGATTGACATTATGCACTGTGGACTTGGCAGCAAGATAGTTTTCACCAGGGACAACGGACCAGGGGTTAGGGCGGATGTCAGCGGGCACAGGAGAGCAAGTGTCTAGCTAAGTGGTCCCGTTGGGTTGCCCTCCGGCGAACGGACGGACTGACAGACCGGCAGACGGGCTGACTGACTGGCTGGTTGGCGCATATTGACATCACGGGTCGTATGACTGCACGAACGAGCGCCTCTCCGAGCTGGAATAAGGCTCTCATGGCGGTTGCATCGCCACGCGTCGTCGGGTCTACAGGTGGCCCTTGGGTTCGCGGCCCTGTGGGCTTTCGGAGGGGCGCTGTGACAGCCGCTCTGTGGAACGCATCTCGGTCGTGCAGTCAACCTGCTGTTGTGGCTTTCCTGGGCGGGCAGCCGTTGGGGCTTAGGAAGGGTTGGATAGGAAAGAGGATGGAGGCGGTTGGGACGTGTTCGGGAAGCAGGCCGTTGGCCGAAGACCCCCGATGTGTGTTGCTGATTAGCCGAGGTGGATACGGCAGGAGTGGTGGTGGGAGGCCGCTGCAGGCTGGAGACCATAGGGACGTGGCATAGGCTGTGGAGGCATAGAGACATGCGTATGGGCGAATCGGCGCAATTGCCAAGCTGCATATCGGATGGTGGGCTTTTGGGTTCCCCCTTAGACGCGTTGGGCGGCTGGGGAGTGTCTCTCTTGTTGTGAGTGTCTATTTTGTTAATCTGTTCGTCACCGTGGTACACGGCTTCCTGCGGATAGCCTTCTCGCGCCTTTGCTGGCTTAGAAAGCGTTTTGTTGCGGTTAGCTGTCTCTCACTGGCTATTCGTTAGGATCCGCTGTAACACGACAGTCGCAGGTCACTCGTGCATGTTGGCGTCTGGATGGGACGTGCATGTAGGCGTCTGGATGGGACGGACAAGAAGGCACGTTACCGCAACTCCGGGCGACGTCGTGTAGTAGGGTAGACAGGATCTGGCGGGATTGCAAATCACTGACAGATTTTACATGTTCGGTTTATGCCCGTTGTCAACACACGGGTCGTAAGGAAAGTAGGCAGGATGGAAGCGCGCTTGCTGGGATCTACAACAACGAGGAGAAACGTCACGCCGCATGATGTCCCTAGGCAGGAAGCGTAACAATGAAGGGCATGTGCTTTGAGAGCATGTTGCCGCCAGCTACCGGACAGCTTGAGGGTTTAGGGGAAGGGGTTGTTTTGGATTAAACGGACCTAGCTGGAGGATGCCATTAAAGAGGAGGGGACTGAGGGTTGAGTGTGTGGGGAAAGCTGTGGGCCATCAGGTTGATGCGGTCAGGACCGCCCTCACACGCTGTTGCTTGCTGCATTGCTGGGTATCAGGGGCCGAGTTGCATTATATTGAAAACAGTCTATTGTTTGTGTTGTTCAGTATCTTCCTAGCGACTTTAATAGGGCTTGACTGCTCCTTTATGTGCGGTGTCAAGCCGAGAGCGGTGGGTCGTGCCATTCAGGGGAAGCTCAGTATACTGGCTGTAGCGAAAACACCCACAACCTCGACAGCTGACGATATGCGGGAAGTGTCTTGGCGCGACCCGAGTAGCTGGCCCTAGTTCACCATCGCGACGGGGGAAAAACACCATTCGCCCCGAGCCACAAGCCAAAGCGCTGCAGCTCACTGTCAGACTCAGTCCTCCAACATGCCATCATCCAGATTGTAAGCTTCCCAGAAGGAGAGCGGGAATTGATGTTATGAGCCGGAGGTGGCCAAAACCCGCACATCACGCCTGCAAAGCTTGTTATGCACCATCAATCAAAAATGTGTCCATACAGACACACACTCCTTAACGTAATAAAAAGAAATCCAATACTATAATGACCAATGTTTTCAATAACGACCGCATTAACTGAGAGACATAGGGCCCTAAAGGAAGTCCCAGACGACGGCCAAACAGCTCGATTCCACTTTACAGTTGGTGTTCAATTCGTAGGTAGTGATCGAGCACCGTGTCCTTGCTCCAGTTTAAAAAGAACTCAGTGCTCAATCCGCTAGGGGTAGCCGCCGAAATCTGAAACATGAGCGACCCCAAGGAGGAAAGCCGTGAGGAGGGCGAGGTCGACTCTCTTGAGCCAGACTTTAGCAAGAAGCATCCCCTAGAGAACCGCTGGACGCTATGGTTTGACAACCCCAACCAGAAGCAGACGCAGAAACAGTATGGGCAATCGCTCAGATCGGTGTATACCTTCGATACTGTGGAGGACTTCTGGTGGTGGGTGTATGCACTAATGCTCTTCTTCATACCTTGGCCCCTGTGGAGTCTTTGCAACGCGCTGACTCGGGCGGCTGGGCGCGCAGCCTGTACAACAACATCCGCACGCCGAGCCAAGTCAATGTTGGAGCAACCTATTATCTGTTTAAGGAGGGGATAGAACCCAAGTGGGAGGACGCTAAGAACTTGAAAGGCGGCTGCTGGACTGCGCCAGTGCCGGGCAAGGGCGATAGCAAAAAGCTGCTTGACGCCTGGTGGTTGAACTCGGTGCGTGCAGTCCCCGAAGTGATAAACAGTTGATTCCTTGTCGGTTCGGGCTTGATAGCCTACACCTGAAAATATCTGGCTGCCGATTATGTGCTGCAGGTGCTGGCCTGCATCGGTGAGCAGTTCACGGACGGCGACGAGATCAATGGTATCGCCGTCGTGATTAGGACCCGTGGTGATCGCATTGAGCTATGGACGCGGACTGCGTCGAACGAGGCGGCTCAGGTACGGTCGGCCGGGGTGTTTCTTGAGGGTGCACGCCTAGTTGGGTGAGCGCGTCGAGACGCAAGCGGCATCGTTTCCACTCACCTAGGCTCAGGCAACTCTCAGCGGCACACAGGTTCCTCCATCTAAACGTCTGTCCTCTGGCCCTGTACCCATTCCGCAGACGATGGTCGGCAAGCAGCTAAAGCAGTTCCTGGATATCTCGGACTCGCAGAAGATTGGCTTCTCGGTCTTTGTGAGTAGCACGTCGCAGCTGAGTGCTGTGTTGCTTTTGTTTTAGGCTGGTTGGCAGCATGCAGCATTTAACACCCCTCCAGGGTTACAACAAACTCCGCTTCCCCCGCCAACCTCGCAACCATCGTCTCCCTGCTTGTTGCCTGCCTAACCAACAGGAGGAGAAAATTGCCTCCGGCAAGGCGAAGGACCGATACATGGTCTAAGGCGGAGCTAGCAGCGGCATAAGGACAGCATACGTGGCTCGTTTGACTTGTGTGGCCATGTGGCATGATTATCCAGGCATTGTAGCATGGACGTGTGCGACGCACCTTTTACCCACCCGCGCCAAGGGCGCACCGGGCTGTCTGCTTCCGGAGACGATGAGCACAGCAAGGAGGACTGTCTTCTGCAGTGCTATCAGTCGGGCTGACGAGTCTCCATCGCCATTGGAAGCATTTGTGGGCGCGGGTTGCGTATGCATGCGTCTGAACAATGTTTTATGATCAGTGGTGACGAAGGGGGGACGGGGGCCGTCTGTGGGAGAGCCGGATGACACAACTTTCACTTTCCTGACCCATCCTGTCTTTTGGGGCTCGCGTTGCGGGGATTGGGGAAGGCCTTGCGCACCTCCCTTTTGCAGACGAACACTATTGACCTAACAACACGATAGATAGAGCTCATGACTTACTGTTCTGATCAACCTAATCGGCATGCGTCCCGTCCGGAGACGCGCCGCGTTGGATCCAGTGTGGCACCTGTGTGCCTAATGGAGATTGGAGTGCTGACTTCCTGGGGCTGCTGGCACACGATATCGGTCTGCGGCGGGCGTTTGTTTTCTGTGGTCTGCCTTGGTACGTCCGTACCAGCCGCCTTCAGACCTTGATCGCTTGTGGGTTGGGAGCTGCATAGTCTTTTCCAGGTGTATAGCTGCTACTAGGGCACCCTATATGGACTGGGATGCTTAGCAGACGCGCACAGCCCTTTTGCCGCAGAGAAGGGAAAAATTAGCAGGCTTGGAATGCTGTGGGCAGAACTTCCGATCGTTAGGACTTTGCAGGAGTAGCATAGAGAGAGACGGAAGCTGCAATAATGCAGGTTGCATAGCGCGCTTTTGCCGCGCGCTTTTTAGGTTATCAACATCATGCGATGTTGGTGGTAGTTGTCTGGTCAAAACATTAATTGTGATACTGCTGCGCCTTTGTCTCAGCGCCCTGGGAGAAGGAGCGTTGTGGCATTATTGTAAGGCAGTGGGACGTCTTGTGTGCATATCGGTCCACAAAGTCACAGTTAGTCAGGACGCCATTAGCATGGGGCCTTGACGCAGAGTATGCAAAGCACTGAGCTTTCATAAAGAATTAAGCTTTTACAACTGCTGACCGCCTAGACCACCTGCAAAACTTCTCGGGTGGCAGATCGCATGGTGAGGAAATGTTGTTGCATGGCGCTTTTCCAATGACCCACGGACCCGTATTAGGAAAGCTAATCATTAAGCCAGAAACAAAGGGAAAAGCCGATATCGCAACATTAACCTGTTGTCCTACATGTGATGTAGGAAATGTTCAGCAAGGTCTCCCAGACGGAAGAGCAAGCCGCTGTCTTGCTCAAGGCTCGAAAGCCGTCCTTGGAATTTTCCGGGAAGCCTCCGCGCGCCAATACATCCGATGGAGCCCTACAAAACCAAACCATGCAAGCACAGCTGCTCAAGCCTTTGCTGGGCTCCCTTTTTCGAGGAGCCTCGCCGACGCCGCGCTTGGCTGAAGAAATCGCCGCGAGCGCGGCACCGCCCGTTTTAGCTTTTCCTAATCCGGTCAATGCAAAAAACGAAACAGCTGCTTTTGTGCCGACAGCAGCAATCTCACTTCCAAGTGGCCCAACAGCAGCTTTAACACCAGCTTTAACACCAGCAGCAGCAACAGTCTCAGCGCAGCAGCCAAGGGCCATGCCAGCAGCAACAGTGGCACCAGTGGCCATGGGGGTCCCCCTTACCGCATCCGTTCCGAATAATGTAAGGCAAGGAGAAGCTGCTGTTCCAACGACCGCAACAGCGGATATCCGACAATTCCTGTCTCGGCGACAGAAAGCTGACGCAGTCGGGGCTCAGAGTCGCAGCGCTCAAGTGGCAGCCGCCCAGAAGTACGCAGCCGCGCCTGCGGTCACTCCTGAAGTACAACAGGTGGTTCAGGAGCTGTATCAGGAAAAGGGAGAGGAGGGCGGAAACCAACCTACGTCAGCAATGGAACAAGACGGTGACGGCGACGGCGCCGCCGCTGGTAGCAGCGGCGGCAACGTCAGCAGAGGTGGCAGCGGCGGCGGCTATCGCGCGGCAGGTACGGCAGGTAGTGCAAGCTGCCGCGGAAGTGGGGCCGGCGGCAGGAGCAGCAGCGCCGCCGGCGTTCGGGAGCTTCGGCACGGCAGCTCGAATGCAGCAGCAGCGGCGACGGCGGCGACGGCGGCGGCGGCGGCGGCGGACAGAGGCTCCGCGCGCGAGGTTCTTCTTCCAAGTGGCGTTGCGCGTATGAAGACCCTTTCCTCTGCGGGGAAGGCCAGCGGGGACGGCGGGGTCGATGGTGGCGGCTTCCCACCGCCCGCAGGAGACGGTACGTCAGCGGCGGCGGCTCACAGCACAGGACCTCCGCGCCGCGCGTGCATCTCCAAGCTCTTCACGGCCCATCAAGCCAACAGGCCGCCATTGCCGTCGAAGCCGCCATTGGCCACCCAGCGCCACCAGCAGCCCTCGCCGTCGCCGCTGCCGCCGTCGATCGCGCCGATTGCGCTTCCGCCCACCAGTGGCATGATCTTAGGTGACAGCTGCGACGGGGGCGGAGGCCGTAACTGTCGTACGTCAACCGTACGATGCACATATTCTGGTGTCGGATCAGCTGTTGTTTTGGAGAAGCCTAGCGACGGGTCAAGGCAAGGAAAAGGAGCGGCGGTTTATACGGGCGATGTAACAAACTGCAATGCAACAGAGGTTTCCAACACGCGGGGGAAGAAGGAGAAGAAAGAAGAGGAGGAAGAAGAGGACGGTGATGTTCTGTCGAGTGAGGTCGACGATGACGATGCGGATAGTGGCGGTGAGGAAGAAGATGATGAGAACGGGAGCGATGGCGATGGCGGTGACAGCGACAGCGACTGGGTGCCCAGCGGTGGCGGCGGCGGCAGCAGCGGCGGCGGCGGCAGTCGAGCTCGGCGCAAGTTTGCTGTCCATACCGGAGGAGCCGTCCACGGTGGTCATGGCGTTGGGGACGTAGAGAAGGGGTCCAGTGACGGTGACGGCGGTGGCGGTGATGGTGAAGGGACGACAGATGGTGATACGGATGACAGCAAGGGGCGCAGCAGGCGGCGAAAGAGCGGCGGCGGCGGCAGCGTGCGAGGCGCAGGGAACACGGCGCGTTCCAGAAGAGCATCAACGGGGGGGGATGCAGCCAACGGCGCCGCATGGGTGAGCAGCAGCGGCGGCGGCAGCGCCCGCGGCCGGGGCGGCCGCGGTGGGAGCCGTGCCGCTGCCGCTGCTGCCACGGGGAAGCGAGCTGCGACGGATGCTCCTCCGGCCTTTAAAATCAGCGATGGAGTGGATTTCAGCCGCGGCGGCGGTGTGTACGGAGGTACGGACGACGGCGCAGGCGGCGGCGACGGGAGTGTGGGCGTCCAGGCGCAGGCCAGCAAGCGGCACAGGGCAGCGGCGGTGGCAGCGTCTGGACCGACCGGCGGCGGCGAAGGTCCAGATTTGATTACCCTACAGGCGCGTTTGTATCCGTGTGGGCCAGGGGTAGGGTGGTCTTGTAGGTCCTCCTCTGGAGCTTCTGACCCACGGGTCTGCCGGCGTCAAGGTACTCTGTGCAGTTGGGAGCCCAGCCCCCGGCATCCGACACTTGACACTTGACCATTGCCAAAGGCATGCAATGGCAAGAGATAGCGAGCGAAGGGCGATGACGACGCCAAAACGGACTGCGCACAATCAAGGCTTAACTGTATGGCGGTATAGGCCATTACTAAGCTTTCGGAAATTTAATGGATTTTGAAAAGCGCCTTCAGAAAACGAGCGAAAAATCGAAAGCATACAATCCAATAGTGATAGTATAATATCTTTCGAGTCCGAAGCTTTTCGTCGTGATGGTGCTGTACGCAGGGCCCTCCTGGCCATGTGGCGTTGGTGCTGGGGCCGCCGGCGGCGCTGCTGCGAATGTCCGCTGAGACAGTGCTCGTACAGCTGCCTGCGGGGTTGGATCTGCAGGTCAGGAGGTCAAAAAGGGGGGGAATGGGCAAATGGAAAGGGGGGGGGAATCGCGTTGCTTTTCCCGAGGAGATGAACGTATTCAATTATTGTGTTTCAATCAACATTAATAATAACATCTATCTGCCACAAGCAACCGTAAGCTTCCTCTCACAAAGGAAATGTTTCGTCTGCCGGCTTCCTCTCCACGCCTGGAAGCGGTCTTTAGCCCTCTCCTCCGCGCAGTTCAGTGATACGTACGCCTCCTCTCGAAATGTGCACCGCTATGTCCATATCTCCCTTTTTTCCCACGCAAATCATGTGGTACCTTTGTTACTGATTGGTGGATCGATGGTGAGTTGGTGAATCGATCGGGCCGCATGCGGTGCACCACACGGGTGCCGACACGGAGCTTTCTAACTTATAAGCTTCTAACAGCCACTACTGTTACGGCCTTCCCTGGAGCGAATTGGTTCAGGGGGATATGGGCGCCATAGGCCGGGTCGCTCCCCTGCCCGGGGTGCTTCAAGGCCTATCGGCCGGTGGGCAAATGTACGGCGGCCGCGGCCGCGGCCGCAACGGCGTCAACAACACCAGCGATGAGGACTTTGGCGATGACAACGACGGAGATGACGATGACGATGATGACGGTACGGAACCCGGCAATGCGGCCGCCGCCATCCCCACCGCCGCCGCCTGTACGGAAGTAGTCGAGGCGGTCCTCGCCTCCGGTGGTCTGGGTCTGGACTTGAAGGGCGAGCTACTGCGTCTACGGCATGCGCCGTTGCCTGCTACAGCCATGGTTGTACGGATCGACGCCCCGCCCTCTGGTACGTGGCTCTCGTACTCGGGCTGCGACTGCGTCCTCCTCTCGGAACGTGTGGCTCCTGTGGGTGGAGTTAGGATGGGTTCGGGTCATATGATGCCCTGCGTGCCTGTATGCGTGTCTGTATGCATGTCTGTATGCGTGTCTGTATGCATGTCTGTATGCATGTCTGTATGCATGTCTGTATGCATGTCTGTATGCATATGTTCGCGTACGGACTGGTTGTCCTGGCACCACCGTACTGTCCGATGATCTGTAGGCGGCGGCGGCGGCAGCGTAGGAGCAGGAGGAGGGGGGAAGCCGCGCAGCGCAGCTGTCGAGCGGGTCTTCAAGTCTTGCCTCTTTGCCAGCCAATACGTCGCCCTAGGTGACGCCGGCGGCGTCCCTGGCGCGTTGCCGTACGAAGAGGATGTCGACTGGGATGATCCGTACGGCGCTGCTGGGGATGAGGACGGTGGTACGGTGGGCGAGAAAAGGGGCATTGAAGCAGCCGCAGGTGACGAAGAGAACTGCGGCGGCGGCGGCGGCGGCGGCGGCGGCGGCGGCAAGGCGCGTGGTGCTGGAAAAGGGAAAGTGAGGGGAGCGGCGGGGCGCGGGGACTCAGGAAGTGGCAGTGGCGTTCGCGGACGAGGCGTTAGCGGTGTTGCAAAGCGCTCGCGGGGGCGGAAGGTTGGCGCGAAGGGTGTTCCCAAGAGGGGCAAGTTGGGGCGCGGCGGCGGCGGCGGTGGCGGCGGGGCCGGCAGGCGTAGTGGCAGGTGAAAAGTCGTACGCGTACTACTGCTTGCCGCGTCAGCGACAAAGGATGGGTTTTCTTTCGAGTGCACTCGTCGGACGCACAGCACCGTAAAGCAGCTCGCTGCCATGGAAATGGGTACATCTAGGGATCTTGCGATCCCTAGCCGTTCGGAAGCAATCTACACAAACTGATGCTTCACACTGTGTGACAAGAGTGCATGATTAGCTATCTTTGCATATCATGCGCACATTATCTGGGCTGTATCAGGGAATAAAGATGGTAATTGGGAGTTCGCTTTCCGGAAGTCCAGTGACTACCGCTAGCAACCGTCATCCAGCAAGCAACAGTCCACTCAGCTAATACTGGGCGCATCGGCAGCTGTTTCCAAAATAAGCAAGTTATGTATAGCAATATTATAAACAGATTGCAGACCAAATCCTCTATCGGTTAATTGTTCTTCCAAAAGGGCAGTCGGTCCTATGCGTCTGGTCAGTGGGGCCGCGAAGATCCAGTGCCCCGTCTAGCTCCTGTGCAACTGATCATTCTGATTATACAACCAGAATTGCTTCACTTTACAATTAGGGATTCTCACTTCAAACTAGTTGCAGCAATTCTGTTGGACAAAGGTCCCCAAGGTTTATTAATGGTTTTCCACGGGTTACGTCGACAAGATTGGATCATACAGCAACGCAGAGAGGGTTATCCATGGAGAGACTCTATTTGAAGCATCGTCTACCTGGTCTCACCTCTCTTTTGCTTTTGCGATGAAGGGCTGGAGTGTGAACAGGCCGTCCTCCTGTACGAAACCTTGGCTCCAGAACCACAAAGTTGCATCAAAAAAGAGGAGCTTATCACAACATCAATTGGCGTCTAATTGCTGTCCATGCATAAAAAATAAGCTCGCAGCTACCTGTCATGCCATAGGACCGTTTCAAGTACTGGTGCGCGTGCTTTCCTCATCTTGCTGCCTGCACAAGCTATGTAGACTGGTGCACGTCAATTTGGTCTTTCTTCATGTTCGTCTAAGCTGTGATGTTTCCAAATCGTTTTAAATGACAAAACGCACGCAAGTTGACAGGAGAAACCCAATCGCTGTAACTGTAATTGCGCTGAAAATAGTAATAAAGCTTGCATATCTTATGTTTCCTGGCCCAAACTGTTCGAGTTATGAAACTTTTGTGGATATTAATCGCCCTGGCCGTCGTTTTTCTCCGAGTGTATTGTATCGCTACAGGGGCTCCAGAAGCCATCACCTTTAGAGTCGGGGCGTCCATCGGCCAGTATGGTAAGCTTAGCGCTTTCTTGCTTGGAAAGCTTACACCATATACACTTCAACGGCCCAGCCTGTTTGGAGCGACCCTGCCCGCACCTTCGCACGCACAGGGCCCTGCGCACCACTTCACAACGACATTTTACAGGGCTACAAGTACTTCTTCAACTGGCTGGACCAGCAGCCTCCTACCGTCGTTTCAGACGCCTCCGGCAAGCTATATCAGCTGCACATGCAGCTTCGGCTGGTCTCCCATAACTGCACAGAGGCAGGCAGAGCAGACGCCATGACCTCTCTCATCAACGGCTCTCCAGCCAATCCCACAACCGGCGCCCCAGCGGAGCCGCCCGTGCACGTACTCCTGGGCGGCCATGGCGACAACGCGCTGGAAGACGCCCTTCAGGCGAATGCCGCGTCGCGCCTCCTGATCCACTGCTGTACGGCACGTGACACAGTGTTTCACCGGGGCCTACGCCACGTGTACGGTCTGCTCACCCCTGCGAGTTTATACACCGGCACAGTGCTGCGCACGATGGCTCTTCGGGGCCTTCAGCGAGTGGCGGTTGTGTATACGCGGGAGTCCCCGCTTCACGTGCAGCTGTGCGAGGGGGCGCTGGCACAGCTGCGGCCGCTGGGGGAGCTGCGGCCCGGGTTCCGCCGCGTGCTGGCGCTGAACTACTCGGCAGTGGAAGCGGGCTCTTTGGAGTTCTGGTCCATGATGGGTGAGTGGGGTTTGGTCCAGACGAATCGAGGGGGACGGGGGCAGAGGGAGGCGAGCTGGTGGATGGGAGAAGGTGAGAGGAGGCATTGCGGGTCCGTCTATAGGAGATGGCCTTGGGGTTTTGTTCCAGGGCAAGGTGTGTGAGGGGGCGGGGGAGGAAGGGTCTAAGCCTGTAGCTATGTGTTCTTCTAGCGCAGCAGGGAGGACGTGGTGGAGGAGCCACAGGAAGAAGTCTTTGTGGAGAGAGTTGCCTGGTGATGTGGGTCGGGCAATTTTGTGGGATGTCACACAATGCGTGATGTGGGTCGGGCAATTATGAGGGGATGCCATGCAAGCGTGATGTGGGTCGGGATTTTCCTTGGTGCTTTAGCGCATCACCATATTCGCCTCCCGGGCCCCCGCAGGCGCCCGAGTGGCAGCGGAGGATGCAGATGTGCTCATCGCCTGTGACAGCATGGACCGTACGTCACAGCTCATACATGAGCTCCGTACTCGCGGCCACCGCCTATCGGCTCTCTGGCTTGCCTCCTCGGGCAACGCCGCCGACTTCTTACATTATTTAGACGGCCACGGAGAGTACGCGCTCACGACCGTTCAGTGGATGCCAAACCTGCCGTACGCGGATCCGGATTTCGGCACCGCCGCAGAGTACACCGCCGCGTTTGTCGCCGCGACCGGCCAGAAGCCGTCGTACTTTAGTGCCGCCGCCACCGCCAGCGGTTATGTACTGCAGACGGCTCTTCGGCAAGCGCTGTCGATGTGCAGCCTCGGTAATGCGACAACGGCGAATAAAGGCATCCTTAGTGCAGTTGCAGATGTGTTTATGTGGGACCAGGCGGGGGCGCTCTCCTGCGGAATGAACAACGTGTCGCAACGCGCTTTGGATATGACTGCTAGCTCCGGAACCGCCGTACTGCAGCACGTCTTGAGCTCGCTTAACATGGACACGTTTTTCGGGCCGGTCTGTTTCAACTCTTACCGCCAAAATATCTTTCATCCGGTCATTGTGACGCAGGTGGGCGCTGCCACTTAGTGGTGTGTGGGGAGGGAGCTATATGCAAAGTCAAAAAAGGAAACTGTTTTTTGCCCGACGATTGATCAACGATGTGCAAAGCTGTAATGTGCTGCTGTTGGAGTTCAAAGCAAAGGCGCAACAGCGCGAAATACACCGACATGTTTGCATCACGTCTTAAGTACGGCATCAGGGTATGCCACACCCTTTCCGCGGTGGATGGTGGCGGTGGCGGCGACGGTCGCTGAAGGTCGTACACGATGATGATATTTTTGGGCCGGGGATAACGGCCTCTGTACGCAAACAGAGACTGTCCTACGTCCCGAATAGGTCATGGAGCGCGGCGTTCTCATACTTTGATACAACGGCGTTCCTTTCCTGCCATGCGACAGGTACTGTACGGCGAGCTGGTGACGGTGCTGCCGCTGGATGTGGCGGAGAAGGCCCTGGTGATGCCCATCCCGGTTCCGGAGTCGATCCGCGCTCCGAAACCCTGGCCACGTACGGCAGCCGGTTTGAGCATCATCACGCTGCTGTGCTGCCTGGGCTTGGTGTGTGTGGGGCTTGCTGTACTGATGTACTACAATCGGACGACTCAGCAGGCCGTCGCGATTGCCGCAGTGGAGATCGTTTTGGGTGACATTCAGGCGAGCATCGGGACTTGGAGGGGCAGGGGGTTTAACGCGCCTCTGTGTCGACCCCTATGGGGGGGAGGTATAGGTCACAAGTTACAAGTCATAAGTTATATAAGTATGGGCGCTAGCCTGGGCTGATAGTGCGGTGTTTCCTTTTCTCCGTGGCTTTTAGGCGTTTAGGTATTACCCTTGGGCCTTCGGCTCGTATGGGTAGTTTTACAGGTATGGGGTCACGCACCCCCAACCATGTAACACACACACACACGCACGCACGCACACACGCACGCACGCACGCACGCACGCACACACACGCGCACACGCGCACACACGCACACACGCGCGCGCGGTACGAGGGTTACAAGGGCTACCAGCTCCTCACAAGTGCGGGGTCCCGTCCGCAAAGCCGGTGGGGAAGTCCAGGGACGGTCAATAGCCATTATGTGGCGCCGAGTGACACCGGACGTTGACGTCCGGCCGCGTTCGCTTCGGCTCGGCGCGCCTGAATGCGCGATGTGTACGGTACCTCCCTAGTATCCCAGACCTCCGAGAGAAACCTATGCACAGCTACAGGGGGGTGGGGGGCCTTCCGCCGCAATCGTACGTACTCTCATTTCGCGCCCTTGGAAGCCAGTGTGTAACCCTCGTATGGCCATGAACCGTTATTTAGCCATGATGATGATGATGATGAAGTAATAAAGAGCTTGCGTGTTATACAAGCCATTTTTACTTCCTAGTCCTGTAGTTTCGTTTATATGGACTTATTTTTCGTCCATAAACCTATTTACCTGAAAACGTCCCCTACGGATTTCCAGATCTGGTCTACGCCTGGAATTATGGTATTAGTTTCGGACTTTTTAAACGGATTTCTGGACACTCGCGCAGGTGGACATCCCGCCACAGGTCAATTCGGACGGCAGCTGTGAGCCCGGGGAGGGGGTGTACCGGGGCACCCGAGTGAAGCTGGTGGTGGCTAGCGAGCTGCTACAGCCGGGAACTGGCCTGCCGGCTGCGGCGGGAAGCTGTAGCAGAATCGGGACGCGAGAATTTGTGAGTACGGCAGACACGCTGCATGAAAAGGATCTGAAAAGGGAGAGGGTGGTAGACCGGTCTGGACGGAATGGGCGGGCGTGGTAGGTGGCGGAAAAGAGAGTTAAAAGCCCCTCTTCCTATACGCATTGTACCCGCATTTTACCTGTTTTTGTTTCTTGGGATTGAGGGATGTGGCCTGAGGGTTTGCGGGTAGGCGGTTGCTTTGTGGTTTAAACTTTTCATCAAGTTGGGGTTGATAGGTAATAAGGAAGCGGGCGTTAGGCAGGGGGAAGGCAGCGGGAATCCCGGGCACTGCTTTGCCGCCGCTTGAGAGCGCGAGGCGCGGCACCTCGGGG